AGCAGCTGGTGAGCGAGTCCAGCACTCCCCAGTCGGAGTGCAGGGATGTGCCATGCAGGTTTCCTGCCCYTTTTGCCTCCTCTCTGTGGCTTTCCCATGGGCCAGCCGTGGGCAGAGCTGGAGGTCTCTGAGCTGGTTCAGCAGTGCCACCATCGTCTGCTGGCTGTGACACATCCACAGCACTGACAACCAAGTGCCCACACAAAATGCCACCTCTTTTTGTGCYGCTGTGGCTTGTCCAGTGATTCCTCAGAGCCCACACATCCTGAGAGAGAGGCTGTCTAATATGGGAAGCTAATACATCAATCCATACACAGCCTAAATAAAAAGCTGTAAATCTCCAAGGAGTTCCAATTAAATTAACTGAAATAGCCAGAACCACAACTAAAGACCCTGCTTGCCTTCGCCTCCGCCGAGGAGGCATTGCACAGGGGTTTGGCAGAGCTGTCCAGAGGTGGTGGAAAGGTTGGTGGAGAGGTTGAGCAGTCAGTGTGGAGCCCTTGCCCTCTTATTCGGTGTGCAAGGGCAGATTACCCAGCAGAGGTGTTGCTTTCCTGGCTGTGCCTCTTGGCACCAGGGTCTGGAAGCAAGAAGGACCCCTAAGTACTGCAAAATCACATGGTTTTGTGTGGTTTAGGCAATGTTTTACTTGTAGGCTTTGCCTCCAGCACTCCATGTGTGCATGGCAGGGATTCAGCTCTAACAAGGATAGAGGCTTGATTACAAGCCTGGAGCCCACCTTGGCTTGTCCAAGTGCCTGTCCTGCTGGCTGGCTGGAGGTCTCATGCGTTAATCAGTGGAGTTCTCAGTAGAGGTGATTTAGCAGAATTTGGGTGGGAATTATTGGAGTTTTCCAGGCAGGTTCCCTTGGAGGCACCAGCCTTTGGCTGACAGTCCCCCCACAGCTCTTGGCTAAGGAGGACCCTGTGCCTTCCTGCTGTTGCCCACTGTCCCACTCCACGCAGATTCCTCTTGCAGCAGAGCTTTCACTGTGTGCCCCCCACCCAAAACTTCCAGCAGGAAGGGCAGGAGAACTCCTGGATGAGTCCCTCACTGGGGATGTGCCCCATCCTGAAGGGTCTGCTCATCGTGTCTCTCACCTGAGGTCTGGGGTGGGGGACAGCTGCTGCAGGGTCCCCATGCAGCTCCTCCGACACTTTTCTTACCTTCCCTCTCTCTTTTTCCATCTCTGCTGGTGCTGCTTGGTGGCTGCTGGGCTGGATCGCCGACAGGAATGCTTTGGGGTAACTATGGCGCTCGGGATATTGCGGGGTGCTGCTCCTGGAAACTCGGGGGGATGGGTGCAGGCAGATGTCAAATCCTCACCCCCAGCCCCCAGGCAGGTGCCCCAGCCCCTTCCCCAGGCCCTGACACTGAGCAAAACAGGAGCTGGAAGGTGCAAAGTGAGTCCTAGGTCCGTCTGTACAGTTCCTTCCCATGCATGTGAAGGCTGTGCTCCTAGGGAGGACTATTAATTAGTGGTTTTGTTTACATCTCGTAATGATTAAGCCCATTATTGTACTCCCTGTTGCATTAACCCTCGCCAAGGAGCCGTGTAATTGGGAGCATCTGTTGTTGCAAGTGATTTCCCTGACGTTTTCAGAGGGTGCCTGGTAGATCCAAGCTGTGCCACCTTCACCAGGACCTCGCTGCTCCATCCTGAGATCCAGTCTTTAGTTAAAAGACAAGGAAAAAAATCCCCTGGTATTGTGGTTGGGGAATAATCAACATATTCGAGGAACGAGGGTCATGAAGGGGCTTTTCTAACTTATTTTACTGGTAAGCTCTGCCTCCCTTAGCGGATTTGAGGTGGGGGCAGGAGCAGCCCTGATCTGGAGAGTTCTTAAAGACATTTCCAAAGGTTCAACCTCCCTGCCTTGAGCAGGGACACCTTCCACTAGAACAGGGCCCCATCCAGCTTTGCCTGGAGCGCTTCAGGGATGTGGCATCCACAATTTCCCTGGCAATGTAGATCCCATTGAGTGCACCTCCCTCATTTGATTATGAATTTCTTGCAGCCGGTGGGGAACAATTTGCAATGGTGGTGACCCTGTGCAAGCCCATCTGCACAAAGCCAAACCTCCTTGTACTGCCTCTGCCCTGCAAACCTCCTGGCAGCAGCCCTGGCACTGCTTCCCACAGTGAGGGGTTTTTTAGGGTCGCTGGGAGGGTGCTAATCCCGGGAAAGGGAGGATTGCCTCACTTTCCATCTCTGCCAGCTGTCAGTGCGTGCCGGAGGAGCTGCGTTTAGGTGGGCTGAGCGCTCAGMAGTTGCACGTTTGTGCCCCTCCTGTTCCCAGCTTCACACGTGCTGGGGGGGTGTTGTCAGCAGTTTAAGCCCCCAAAGCACCAAGATCTACAAGGTTTTTGTCTCTTTGTTCCATTTTTGGGTGTCTGTGCCTCCCTCCGACGTGGCAGGACCAACAAGGGCCGGGATATCAAGACCATCAAGTCTCTCCGTGTGCTGCGGGTCTTGAGGCCCCTAAAAACCATCAAGAGGCTGCCCAAGCTGAAGGTAACGAGTTTCATCCCCTGCCTTTCATCCTCTTCTCCTGCATGGACTGCTGGGAGAAGGAATCCCACACAATTATTTGCTCATGAGTGATGAACAAGTTGTTTTCAAAACTTTCRGCGTGTTTTGGAGGCTGCTTAGGTGCAGTGAGTTATCAAAAGCAATCCTGGACCTCTGCAAGGTCTCCAGAAGTAGTTCCTCTGTCAGGAAAAGTGAGGCTTGAGTGGACAAAATAAAGCAAAGCCCAGATGTTCTGTTGAATAATAGGCTGCCCTGGTTATGGAGACCTCAAATCTCCTTTCCTCCAGAGCAGGTTGTGAACAACTTGGGTTTTTTTTTTGTGCTGTGCTGTCATGATGTTTCTCTGGAGGGGGATTTCCCATCTCAATAGTGGGATTATTTCTGCATCACAGGTAGGATTATGAATTTCCCTCCCTTAGCTGATGGAGAGTCAAAAAGGAGTATGAGATTGAGGAAGCCCTTTTTTAAATTTATGAGTGGTTTGGCTGATTGACAAGACCCAGGGTAGCACACCAGAAACACGGGGTTTGAGCCCAGCTTTTCCTTCTGATCAGTGGATCGAGCCAGCCTGTGTCAATTCATTTCTGGAAATGCCTGTTTCCGTCATGAAACAGGGACAAAGACAATCTTTACAAAACTTAAAGTGCTCTCAGAAGCAGGGCTGAGAGCACTGAGGGACGTGCCACTGTTGCAGGCAGAGGTATTTGCTCTGCCTCATTATTTGGGGTGATGCGAAATGATGAAGTGTTTACTAATTAGTCTTGAGTGCTGCTAATTGCATCATTAGGATGGTCCCCTGCCTGCTTCCCTGGTTGCAGAGAGCTCCGAGGATGCAAATATCCCTCCCTGGTGCTGTCTCAGGGCGCCTGCACGTGTGCTGTGGGTACTCTGGGTGTTAACCTCCTTCACAGAACAGCTTTTGGCCTGGGAGGAGGCCCAGCTCTTGCCCTCTTTCCCCACCAGGTAGCCTGGTGTTGGTCCTACCCTTTGCCAGGGTTCCCCAGGGTGAGCTCTGCCCTCTCTTCCAGGCGGTTTTTGACTGCGTTGTGACATCCCTCAAGAACGTCTTCAACATCCTCATCGTCTACAAGCTCTTCATGTTCATCTTCGCCGTCATCGCCGTGCAGCTCTTCAAGGGGAAGTTCTTCTACTGCACGGACAGCTCCAAGGACACGCAGAAGGACTGCATGTAGGTGCCCTGTGGGGCAGGTCTGGTGCTTGCTGCCCCTCTGGCAAGGGCAGGGTGCTGGGTCACATCTGCTGTGGTTCCCCGTTGAGTCCTTGGGCCTGACTTGCTCCTGGGGTGGACAGCATGGGCTGAGCCCCATTCCCAGTGCTGTGTACCATCCATCCTTCCATGGGGTGCAGAGACCTGTATTTTCCTCCTCTTCTTTCCACCTTCTCTCTCCTGTGTGGTTTTCCCCTTCTCTGCTTCCTCACGTTGTTGTCCAGCGTGCCCCCATTTCTCCTGTGAGGTGCCCGCCGCCCCAGCCCCGCTGCCCCCCAGGGTTCAAACCCACCACCCCATAGCCTGGCAGCCCAAAACCCGAGGTCACTGCTCCCTCCCAACCTTGCAGAGGAAACTACGTGGACCACGAGAAGAACAAGATGGAGGTGAAGTGCCGGGAGTGGAAGAGGCACGAGTTCCACTACGACAACATCATCTGGGCTCTGCTCACCCTGTTCACCGTGTCCACCGGCGAGGGGTGGCCCCAGTGAGTATTCTGCTCACTCTGTCCCCTTGAATGGGGACGGTCACATCCCTGTTGGGGTGGCCAGGTTACACCCAGTGGGGCTGAGAGGAACTGCAGAGCAGGAGGGAGGAGGAGAATGATAACGAATTGTATCAGCACAAAAGAGCTTTTATCCCACTGATGAGCCTGGGGCYGTGGCTGGGGTTAGCTTCTCCCTTAGGCAATGAATGGATAATCCCTTCTCTGCGTGGCCCCGAGATATATTTTAGGTCAATATCAGAGATAAATGCTCATGTGAGTTTGGGCAATATTTTTCTCTGCATGCAGAGCACAGGAAAATCCATTTTCCATCAGGGACACGGCAAAGCACCGTAAAACAAGCCGTAGCCATTTTAAAAGGTCATCCTGGAAAGCAGATTAGGACAGAGCTTTACCTTGTCATTGTGCAAGCATGGACAGACAGAGCTGGGTCCCGTTGGAAGTGATGGGCATATCCCTGGTTGCTTTTCTTCACCTCTCTGCCCACAGGGTGCTGCAGCACTCGGTGGACGTGACGGAGGAGGACCGCGGGCCCAGCCGCAGCAACCGCATGGAGATGTCCATCTTTTATGTCGTCTACTTTGTGGTCTTCCCTTTCTTCTTTGTCAACATTTTCGTGGCTCTCATCATCATCACGTTCCAAGAGCAAGGAGACAAAATGATGGAGGAGTGCAGTCTGGAGAAGAACGAGGTACGGTCTGGGGCGGCGGAACGAGGACATTTCCTCGGGGTTTTCCATGGACATTTCCATGGGGTTTTAGCGTTTTGGGAGCTTGATATTGAAAAGGTGGGAAACACGTGAGCTATCTGCCTTCCCACATCATAGAGGACAGACACACAGCAGCCACCACCTGCCAGGTGTCCCTGGGAGGATCAGGGTGTGACGGACACTCTTTGTTGCAGAGGGCCTGCATTGACTTTGCCATAAGTGCCAAGCCCCTGACGCGGTACATGCCCCAGAACAGACACACCTTCCAGTACCGCGTCTGGCACTTCGTGGTGTCCCCGTCCTTCGAGTACACCATCATGGCCATGATAGCGCTCAACACCGTGGTGCTCATGATGAAGGTGAGCTGGATTTTGGGGTGAGCCCATCCCTCTCTGTTTGGAGTGGTAGGATGGATCAGGATGGGAGCAGAGGGTATTTTGGTTGTGGAGATGCCTTGAGACAGCATCTGTGTGTGCATTCCCTTGGCACAGCCACTTGAAATGCCACGTGACCCGAAATGGAGGTGGCATTTTGYTAAAAGGAATTACCCAAATTGTGTGAACTTCTTGATTACTGCAGGCAAATGTGGATTTYCTCTGTGCTCTCTGTTTAGAAGAGGTGGCATCTGTCCTGGGTGGGGGGTGGAGAGGGTAAGGGGCAGATGGTGTTGAGGGTCCAGGGCAAGGGACATGGATCCCACTGGTCTGTCCTGGGGGAGGGATGAAGAAAGGAAGAAATTCTTGTGAGGGAGCCAGGGCAGCAAGCACAGGCCAYGCTGGGTCTGTGCTGGGACAGCCATCAGCCAAGAGGCTGGCAGGCCCCCTCCTGGCTAGTGCTGTCCGTGTTTCCATCAGTACTACTCTGCTCCGTACACATACGAGCTGGCCCTGAAGTACCTGAACATCGCCTTCACCATGGTGTTCTCCTTGGAGTGCGTCCTCAAGATCATCGCCTTCGGCTTCCTGGTGAGTGCCCGCTCCTGTTCTTTCTGAGGGCGTTAATTTGGATTTTGGCAGTGCCCAGATCACAGGGGGAAGGTGTTCATAATGCGAGGTTGCTGCTCCTTATTTTGGATCCTGGCCTGCTAGCTGCTTTTTGGGCTGGAATCCTTTGGTTCTCACTGCACTTCCCGCTGCTGGGTGCTGCTGTGGGAAGTCACAGCACTGCTTTACTTCTTGCCCTGTGCCTGGACCATGCATGTGCTGTGCTGCTGCTCTGTTAGAGCCCATGGCTGCTGCACGTGCTAGTGGCTCTTGTCCCTTGTCCCCATGAGTCAGGAGGTGCTGGTGCACTTCTGTCCTTGGTCTGTGCTGGTTGGATCCGACCTGAGCAGCAGTGAGACTTCCCTGACTGATTCACAGTCCTCAAGGTCCCAGCTGCTCGTTTGGGATTTGAAGCCACGGATTTCTTTTCCATCAGCTATTCTTTGCTGGGAGATGAGGCCCACTCCCAGGAAGGTTTCTGGCCRCCCTCCTTGCTCCCAGTAGCACCAGTCATGGTCACACTCGGTCTTGCACCAGCTGCTGCACAAATGACAGGGGCTGAGATGTGTCCAGGTGTCCATGAAAAGGAGGGCAAAGCAGCCTGGCTGTGACGAGCTGTTGGAGCCTGACCTGGGCTGTCTGTGCCTGCTTTTCCTGCTCCCTGGCCAGGGTGGTCCCTTGGATGTGTGAATCATCTCCCAGGAGGAGCTGCTTGCTGCAGACATGCTCAGGTCTGCCTCAGTCYCAGACACAGGACGGTGTTGCAGACCGTGGCTGCATACAAATGGGCTGCGAGGTCTCCACCATTGCCCATGAGCAGCTCTGGCCCGTGGCGCAGCGCCCTTCAGACCCACCATCCCCGAGCTCAAATCCACGTTCCCACTCTCCTTTTTTTGGCAGAATTATTTCCGGGACACGTGGAACATCTTTGACTTCATCACGGTGATTGGCAGCATCACGGAAATCATCCTGACGGACACCAAGGTGCAGCAGGGGCCGGGAGCAGCGGGGTGTGGGGTGGCGTGGGGGCTCCCAYATCCCTCTGACCCTTCTGTCTCCTCCCAGCTGGTGAACACCAGCAGCTTCAACATGAGCTTCCTGAAGCTSTTCCGGGCTGCTCGGCTCATCAAGCTGCTCCGCCAGGGTTACACCATCCGCATCCTGCTCTGGACGTTCGTGCAGTCCTTCAAGGTCAGTCTCAGTGCCCTGGCCTCCTCCCAGGCCACAGGGACGTGGTGCTGCTCCCAAAGGCAGGCTGTTCCCGAGGAGAGATGGATCAGCACAGCTTCCCCATGTGTTTTGTGCTCCTCTGGGGCCAGACCTGCGATAGATGAGATGATTCATCCGCTTCTCTTGCAGGCGCTCCCCTAYGTGTGCCTGCTGATCGCCATGCTTTTCTTCATCTACGCCATCATCGGCATGCAGGTGAGACAGAGTGACCCTGTGGCACGGACAGTGACACCAGCATGTCCCCAGCATTGTGCCTGCCTGTCTTTGCTGTGCTCAGTTGCTGTGCCAAGGATGGAGGCAGCTCCTCTGGGAGCTGTGGGGCCACATGTCCAGGGAAACTGCCCTGGGCTGTCCAGTCAAGCTGCCTTCCCAGCTGCCACCTTTGGAGATGTGGCCTTGGGGACTCAGCTGTCCACACTGTCCCTGTGGCTGTGTGACTGATGATCTGTTTGGGTGCTCACGTTTATGACCCTGCCGTGACCTCCCRGCTGGCGGGGGCTCTGTGGAGCACGGGGAGCCGGCAGCTTTGCAGGCTCGGGCTGGTGAATAAGAGGCGCGTGAGCTGAGCCCCCGAGCTCCGCACGTGCCGCAGGGCTGGCTCGCCTCTGCTGTGACTAAATCCCACGCTGGAGATGTGACAAAGAGTCCTCGACGACGAGCGCCGGGGATGCGGAGCTGCCCGATGAGCTGCCGCAGTACCCAGCTCCTGACAGGAGCTGATTTTGGGGTGGCAGTGGCCCYTGGTTGTGCTGCCTGGTGTTTAGGACCTTCCAGTGCCATGGCTGYTTTTTGCCCCCCTGTCCTACACACCTCGGCACCGGCTGCAGGTGTTCTCCTAAACAGCCRCCATCTGACTCAGCCCCCCTCCCTGCCGGGTGGTAGTATTAGATTTATTTTTTTTAATTTTTAAATTTTTTTTTTAACACCATTGTGAACAAATCCCCCAGCAGTAAAGTCTGTGGGCGTTATTTGAGCAAAATAGCTGGAGGCAGAAAATATTCTACAATTACACATTCCAAAAAACCTGTACAGGGAAAAAATACTCTGCAGTTGGTGTATTTTTAGGTTCAGGGAAAGGGGAATAAATATTTAACAGTAATAACAGCACATTTTTCCAATTTGAGGCACTTTACGAATGTTCGTTATGTCTTAGCACTGCCTCGGCTCAGGGTTGTCGTTAGAATATTGTCCATGTTTTGGTCCTTGTTGCCTCTCTTGGCCCCGAGGATGGCAGGGTCTGTCCTTCTCCACGCTGTTTGCACTGCTGTGCCTGACCCCAGCGTCACAGACCATTTCTCCACCAAGGGAAAAGCTCCTGGGAGTGTCCAGGACTGTGACCCAGCACCCAGCCAGGACRGTGGCACTTTGTCCCTTCACCTCCAGCGTACTCGAGGCTGCGGGTGCTGCACAGTGCTGGGATGGCACGGAGGGATGGATGTGGCATGGATGGACTCGGCTGATCCCAGGCCCCCTGCGCTCCTGTTTCCATGGCAGCTCAGCCTCTCGCAGCCTTTGCCACCCACAGCAAATCCCTGCCAAGGAGAGGAGAGTCTCCTTCCCCGATGGCTGCCTGGCACCGGCTCCTTGGCGCGCTGGCTGTGCACCAGCCCGTGTTGGTGTTGGCTGGGGTGCTTTTCRTGGAATCACAGAGTCATGGAATGGTTTGGGTTGGAAGGGACTTTAAAGGCCACCATGTCCAACCCCATGGCAGGGACACCTTCAGCTAGATCAGRTTGCTCAGAGCCCTGTCCAGCCTGAGCTGGAATGTTTTCAGGGGCAGGAATATGAACGTGCTCTTGCCTGAAGAGCTGAGCCCCTTTTTTTCTCCCTTCTGTAGGTTTTTGGCAATATCAAGCTAGATGAGGAAAGCCACATCAACCGGCACAACAACTTTCGTAGCTTCCTGGGCTCCCTCATGCTCCTCTTCAGGTGAGCAGCCATGGAAAACATTCCTCCTCACGCCAGAGATGTGTTTAATTTGGGCAGGGGTTGGATGGGTTTCTCCTGGGGGCATCCTGCCTCCATCCCATGGCACCCCAAGCTGCTGACGGGGCTGTGTTGGGTGCAGGAGTGCCACGGGGGAGGCGTGGCAGGAGATCATGCTGTCCTGCCTGGAGGGCAAAGGCTGCGAGCCGGACACAACGGCGACGTCCGGGCAGAAYGAGAACGAGCGCTGCGGCACCGACCTGGCCTATGTCTACTTTGTGTCCTTCATCTTCTTCTGCTCCTTCCTGGTGAGTTCCATCCTCTGAGAGCCCTGGGGATGCCCCTTATGGGTCACCTTCCATCACCTTCCCACAATCACTCTTCCTTCTCTCTCCCTCTGCTCCCTCTCCTCCCGCTCTTCCCTTCCTCTCCRCCTTTCCCCGTTTCATTTAGATGCTCAACCTGTTCGTGGCAGTCATCATGGACAACTTTGAGTAYCTGACACGGGATTCCTCCATCCTGGGCCCTCACCATCTGGATGAGTTTGTCCGGATCTGGGCAGAGTACGACCGAGCAGCGTGGTATGTAGCCAGCTCCTTCTCTCCCGAGCAACCCCTCAGAGCCGGTTTTAAACCAGCATCTCTGTGTTCTACTACGGGAACCACAGTCCCCAGTGATGTCTGGGATAGCCAGGGACGTGCTGCTGTCACCTGTGGCCATCACAAGGCCAGCAGCTGGTTCTGAGTGTGGCTGGTGGCRCAGGAGTCTTGGGTGATGTTCAGAGTTTGCCGTGGCGTTCGTCCTGAGCGCTGGACGTTCCTGCTCTTCCTCTCCCGAGCCCTGGATGTCCCTGCTCCTCCTCTCCTCCCTGCCCAGCAGGCAGATCCCTCTCAGCCTCCTTCCCTGTCCCCACACACCAGCTGGGACCCTTTACCCTGAGCCTGGCTGTGTCCCTTTGTCCCCAGCACCCTCAGCTCTGATAAGAGCAGGGCTGAGCAGGACTCGTTCCCACCCATGGGGACCTGCTGGGGTCCTGCAGAGGACACACCCTCATTTGGGGTGTGTTTGGGGAGCAGTGCTCCTGCTTTGGGCAGCCTGCTCACCCCTCTGGGGACGGGAGGGCTTTGTCTCCTGCACTCCTGCCCTTGCTGATGAGGATCCTGGCAAACAGGGCTCCCATTTGGAGTCAGCAGCCTGTTCCCAGCACTGGGATGGGCTCACAGAGGCCATACAGACCTTGGGTGGCCAGGCTTTGGCCCTGTCTCTCCTGCTGTGGGCATTGCTCTCCACTGCTCCTCCTCCTCCTCCTCGGGTCCCAAGCATCCCTAGAGCAGTGGGGGACCCGTGGCAGCTTTGGGAGCGTTGTTGCCCTTCACCCAGCCCCAGCACCACCAGAGTCCCTTGTGTGGCCCCTTTCAGAGCCCAGGGACTCTTTGGAGCCATGATCCACCCCTGCCAGGGCCATTTTAACCCCACAGCCCTCAGCAGCCCCGCACGCTCCCTTTGGAGACTCCTTACCTCCACTTTTCACGTCCTGCCCTCAKAAGAACAGCCCCAGCCAAGGTGGTTTTTTACACCCAATATCAGCTCCAGCTGGAGAAAGGAGAGGAGGCAGAGCAGTTAAACACCCAGCTGCTCACTGTGGGGTGGCTCTTGGAGGGGGATTTTTCACACCCAGGCACTTGATTCACCCCATGCCCCATGTTGGTGGCCTCAGTGCCCAGGACAGTCGCTGTAAAACAAGCCAGAGCTGTCCTACCCACACCACGTGTCCCCCTGATTCCTGAGCAAGCCACGCTGGTAGGCAGGGGTTAGGGGACCCAGGAGACAGCGGTGGCCACCCCGGTCCCATGCTGGGCGAGGAACGGGTGAGTACATCCCAACAGCTCCCACCGTCCGGGCGGGGCAGCGTTCACATCCTGACACCGGCACCGTCACACGGAGCTCTCGGGGAGGATGTCCAGCACCAGCGGGGAGCAGGGATGGGCTTTGTCCAGATGGTTGGGTTCTGGTTGGTTCTTCATCTCTGGCCAGCGATGGAGAGGGGCGGAAGCAGAGCGAGGAGAAACCGGAGGCAAAGGCYGGGTGGGACGGTGACGCTGCTCTTTGCCTCCTGGCGTGGTTTCCCTCCCAGCTTGTCCGAGGATGCCCGGGAGGCTGCAGCAGCTGCACCTCAGCACTTCCACCCCACACTGTCCCGCTTCCCCAAGGGCTCTGGGCTGGAGCAGAGCGGGGAGCTCAGCATCCTGCACCCCCTCCTGCCAGCTCCGTGCCTCGGCTGCTTCCCCGTGTCCGCGGAGCGGGAGSATACGGCCGTATCCTGGGATGGCTGCAGCGCTCCGGGCGGATGTGCTTCCATGGGAYGGAGGGCTGCGTGTCTGGGAGGGTTTGCTTCTAATAATGTGCACCCCTGGCGTGGCGTGGGCTGCTGGTCAGAGCGCTGGCTCCAGAGCCCCAGCGGCCGCAGCCACCGACYGGTCACATTATCCCTCCCCGCCTGAGGTTCCCCAGATCTTGGAGACACGAGTGGCTCAGCTGCCAGCCTCCCCGGGACCCTGTGGCTCTCAGAGAGGTGACAGTGTGAGGACAGGGGCTCTGCTGATCTGATGGGGCACAACTCCGTGGGTTAGAACCCAGCCAAGCTGCAGGCTCACCCTGTCTACGGTCCCAGCCCTCTCCCACCAGGCGCAGGGGTCAGGGGCACGATGAGCAGGGTGACGGGGTGCTGTCCACCACCAAAGCTGTCCCTCTCCAGGGTGAGGATGGGACAGTGTGAGGAGATTTGAGCCAGCTCTCACGATGGAAAAGGCAGGAGCTGATGCTCACAGCTTTCTCCTCTGCGAGGACAGAGCCAGGAGGAGAAGAGCTGCGCTCTGCTGGGGTCCTGCCCCACAGATGGCCCCAGCCCCATCCCGTTAAGCTCTCCATCCTCCCCTCCACCCTCTCAGTGTCCTATTAACCCACCTGTGCTTCCTTTGCAGCGGCAGGATCTCGTATAAGGATATGTACAAATTAGTACGGGTGATCTCGCCTCCTCTGGGCCTAGGAGAGAACTGCCCCTACAGGGTGGCGTGCAAGGTTTGCCTCCCAGTCCTCCGCCACAACCTGGCCACGGGACGCACCATCCACCCCGCTCCCCGCTCCACCGCCACCGCGCCTCCCCAGGGAACCCTGACCTTGCTTTCCTTCGAGTTTAAAGAGGTCCACTGCCTCCCAGAGCCAGCAGCTGTGCCCCTCCAGGGGAGGCATCAGTGGGGCCAGGGGGGGCTCAGAGCCTCCTGGGGTGGGTTTTGACAAATTGTGTCCCCCAGCCGGCCCCTCACCCCAGTTCCACCGGCGCAGAGCCCCGAGGGGCGCCGGGCCGAGCGCCACCATCCCTGCTCGACTTCTCAAAGCACCTCACGTGGGACAACGAGGTTTGGGGGGGCCTAGATGGGGTTTGCTCCTCAGGATGGTGGGGGATGGTGGGGACTTTGCTGTTGTTTCGGACAGTGAGAGCTGGGGGAGGACGAGGAGGCCAGGGKGACCCCTCCCTGCACCCAACAGCCCCATCCTCAAGGGTGGCACTTTGGAGGACAAATGACCACGTTTCTGGGGTGCAGAGTCTTGCCCTTRGCTTGCTGGATCTGCCAGGGAGGTGGTGACACCAGGGCACATCTCTGGAGCCCAACAGCTCCTCTCCCTTGAGCTCATTCYCAGCTGCTGGCCATGAGTCCAGGGCAGCGACTTGTGTCTCTCTGACTTGCACTTTCTTTTTTTTTAAATTTTATTTTGGGGTGACAGTTGAGCAAAATCCTACACCTGCCACATTCTCTGAGGTGACATGTCACCTCTGTCTGTGTCCATGGCACGAAAGGATGAATCACAGAGCTTGCTCTTCTTTCTGCATCCCTCATGGCCTCTGAGGGATACAGGGAAGCCCAAACAACCCCAGCRCTTGCTCTTGCCTCTGCAGAGGAGGAGGGCTCCTCAGTGCAGCGTGGTGTAGTCACCACATCCTTCTGGAAACATCAGAGAGGCTTTTCTTCCACCTGACATCCCTGGAACAGCTTTGGGCTTGGGGATGGTTCTGCCAGAGGCAAAGCAGTGCAAACATGACAAGGCCTGGATGATCGGTCATCTCATTTAGGAAGACACATTTAGGAACTGGAGGTTTCTTGCGAGAATCTCAGATGGCTCATCTGTTCCAGCAAAGGTTCTGGAGTCATTCCGCTCCTCTCTGCTGCTGCATCCCTGGCAGAAAATGGCAGCTCAGCTGAGGACACTTGCTCAGGGGCCTRCAGGAAGAAAACACCTTTGGGAGGAGTGGGGAGTGCAGGGATCCACTGGCAGATGCTGCTCTCCTCAGCTGGATCACCTGGAGCTCAGAGGGATGGAAAAGGGAATCTTCCTGGATGATCTGGGATTTCTGCTGACTCTGGATGGGCAGAGTGAAGGTGGATGAACTCAAGGATAGGCAAAGAGTGCTGGGAGCAGCTTCTGCTGTCACCTGGGGAAGACCAGCCCCATCTCTGCCTTGCGTTACCTCAACCTCCTCCTCCCCTGTGCGTGAGATATTTCAAGAACACGAGGTTTTCAGGGATTCCTATTGCCCTGGAACAATTCCCAAAAGATGAAAGAAAATCCATGTGGCTGTTGCATCTTGCCAGATCCCAAAATGCCAGCCCAGCCTGCACAACTTTCAGCTCAGTGAGCCTGTCAGGTGAAAACGCTCCACAGATAAATAAATCCTCGTGGACATCGCCTCTTCCTGAACCTGCTGTCACAGCACTCGCTGCTCTGGTGCTCTCTTTCTACGTGGCACAGTTCTTATTTCCTAATTACAGAAGGACACATGTCCTGTCCCCCACATTTCCTCCTCTGTCACCCACAGGGTTCTCTCAGGGCCAGSCCATTAATCTCTGGTGGTTCAGAGGCCACCTTGTGCTGTGTCACATCGCTGTCCAGACACGGGCAGATGGGTCAGCTCCCCATCAAAGGGCAGCTCTTGGGAGCCATCCTGTTCAGATGGATCTCATCCCATGTGCCTGGAATGCTTCTCTCCATGAGGAAGTGGTGTCTGAGCACAGCTGTGCTGCTCAGAAACCTCCAAAATCTCTGCTCTGAGGAGCAGCAAAGTATGCAGTTCTCGTGTGACCCGTCTTGGTCACTGAGACAAGCTCTTCCTTTCCCAGAATCCATTCCTCCTACATTGTATGGAGAATCTCAGTGCCTGTTGTGTCCTGGGCACCCCAAAATCCCCCCTGCCAGGAAGGATGGGTGGAAGATSCCTGTCTTGCTTCCTTTTTACACTGAATTCATGCTTGAAAACTTAAAAATCATCTTATCTTCAGGCACCTTGTGTTGGTGCAGGTCCAGCTCTGCCGAGGTGCTGCTTACAGCCTCCTGGATATTTCCTCTTGATCACCCTGTTCAACATTCTCCAGTGTTGTTATCGATCATCTTTTTGAGTGTGACTGGCCTCAAAGGGAAGGGGGATGGCCCTGCTCTGTGCCTGCACCCCAAACAGCTCCTGTCACCAGCTCTGTTCACTCTGAAATGTCAGGATTTATCTTGGCAGGGACCTCTTTGGCCAAGGGGCTGCTTCCAAACCGTGAGGAGATCTTGTCTCCCCTTTCCAGGATGTGCTAGGGAAGAGGCCAAGATCCTCTGGGGGTGCTTAATTTTTCGTCACCCCAGCTGAGGTGGGCACCTCTCCAGCTGTGAGGGTCGATGCCTTTGGTGTCATGAGGTCGCCCATGCCCATTGCCCATCCTGGACCGTGCAGTGCAGGACGAGGGGAAGAAGAGATGTCTGAGCCCGGGATCCCTGGGAGATGTGGATGTGCAGAGAGAGGGGGACACAGCCCCGCTGTCCCAGAGGGCAGCAGGGGGTGGCCTGTCCTCGGTGGCACCCGCAGCCACCCTGGGCAGGTCCTTACGGAGCAGAGCAGCGCGGTGGGGGGGTCCCGCCCTAACCGCTCCCTTGGGAAACCCGAACGATCCCCGATGTTGGAAGGCCCAAACAGCTGCCTCTGCTGAGACTCTTTAAACTCCAACCTGGTGGAACTTGCAGCCGCATGTGGGAGAGAGCCAGGGCGGGAGCATGGCATGCCCGACGTTTCCTCCCGGTTTTTTTTTTCCAGCCGATTCAGCATGCCTTTTGCACTGGTGCATGGTGGGGAAGTGGTCCATCCGCAGAGCCAGACGGAAGCAACTGGGCATCTTCCTGTGACAAGTGACCCTGGCCCACTGCCTTCTATGCAAGATGCTGCCTCCCAATTGCATAGACCCCCACGAGCTGGGGATACACAGCCTTTGGCTATGGGTTAGGTGGCCATGCCAAGCAATACCAGGCATCCCCCCGGGAGGGAAGACGCTCCGGAGGCCACAGAGCACCGTGGTGCAAACCACCCTTATCTCGAATAACCCATGGCTCGAGTGCCGTGTATCTGATTTATACCACTCGCACACAGCCCTGGAACCTGTGGGACGAGGTGGGGGCTGCTGGAGGGCTTTAGGACAGGGCTTGAGAGCAGAGGAGGAGTCCCAGGCTGGTAGCGAGACAGGCGCTTGAGGCCAGCAGCGGAGAGGAGAGGGGTGAGTTGCTTTCTGCCAGCATTCCTGGGTCTGTGTGAGCAGTGCTATAAATCCACATCAGGACAGTCTCTCATGTATGATTTGCCTTGATTAACGGGTTTCCTGTTCTTTTCCTGTTTGTCCGTTTGTTTTTTTTTTTTCTCTCCTGTTTTTCCTGTACTATTTTTCGTTCGTACGTTTTTGTTTTGTTTTTTTTCTTTTCCGCTCTCTGGGAATGCCTCCTCTCTCTGCATCTCCCTCCCTCCCCTTCCCCCTCCATGAGCAGTGGCCGAATCCATTACACTGAGATGTATGAAATGCTGACTCTTATGTCACCACCGCTAGGCCTCGGCAAGAGATGTCCTTCCAAAGTGGCCTATAAGGTAGATCAACCCTTCCTTCTCCGGGGGTTAGAGCCCAGCAGGAGCCGGGGCACCTGCGGGAGGTGGGACCGGGGGAGCTGGGGACGTGCTGGGGTGTCCAACGTGTGTGTGGCTCACTCCTGGCGAGCCTGGTGTGCCCACAAAAGCGCTGGCCACGCTGGCCAGTCTCTGCTGCCATGGTCACTCACAGCTCCCAGGGGGAAAAAGAGGGCCAGGATAGTGAGAAAATGGGACAAGGTGAGGTGAGGTGAGGTGAGGTGAGGTGAGGTGAGGTGAGGTGAGGTGAGGTGAGGTGAGGTTGTTGCCTTGAAAGGCCAGCTTTTAATAATGGCATAGACACGGTTAAGGGGATAAAAGGGTTTTACCTCTGTATTTGGGATCCCAGGTGCACAACTTGATGGCAGAATGCACACCCGTGTACAGCACGGATAACAGTTTTATAGGTTTCAGGAATTAGCATACCTATCTAGGATTTCTCAATAAGAAACTTAACAAATGCAGTAATGTCCCCCTATCCTAATGAATCCCCCCTGGATGAGGCCAGAGCCCAGTTTACACAAGATGTTCTGGACAGAAGGCTTCACCCAAGGCTGGAGCCTCGGGTTTAAGATAGCACAGGGTACACTGACTCTTTCTTCAGGATGTTTGGTCTCTCTGCCCAGCAGAACTCCTAAACTAAACTGGAATATCAGGGTACAGGAATTACAAGCATGTGGGCTAAGGGGTGCAGGGGAATGCAYAGAGGGTACAGAAAGCGTAAAAAGGAAAAGCAAAAATCATCAGGCATCAAGGTGAGGTGAGCAGCACTATAGCACAGTTAGGAGAGGGAGATGTCCTTATAGGAGTTCATCCCKAGGGGTTTGGAGCCATCCTCATCGCAGCAGCCCACAGAGATGGGAAGGAAGTGTGGGCAGTGAGGATAAATCCCAAATCCCATAGGAGCAGGTCTGCTGTGTGTAAGGAGCCAGGGGCTATCCCAGGTGCCTTCCAAAGGCWYCSATGAGCTGTCCYACCTGCAGTGGTGRCRGTCAGTCAGSYCCCACCTCCCATTTRCATGGACACAGAGCAGGAGCTYRGGAAACCRTGAAGGATGTGCCCTGGGAGCTGCWYGGCTTTCTGAGGGCCRAGACAAGACCCAGAGCTATGGGAGGATCTGTTGTCCAGGAAGAAATTAGAGTTTTTCTTGGGCTGCTGCAGAACTCAGGGCTGGGGGGATCCCTGCACACTTCAAACACGCTCCTGCCCTCTCCGGCTCTCACGTGTCTGTTCACAAACATCCACAGTCACACTTTGCCAGTGGGAAAAAGGGAGGCTTGAAGGCAGGGGAAAGGAYGTGAGGAGCCAGGTGAAAAGGAATGGGCAGGGAAGGGCTGACCCAAGGTATTCACAAAGCAAAATATACTCTCGGGAAAGTGGATCTGGTCACTTCGGTTTGCACCCCGCCTGCCCAGGGTGGGGACGGAGCATGGCGTGTCTAACCTGCCTTGGTTGCCCTTTTCTCTTTCCTTCTGCACTTTTTCCACCCTCCCCCTTCCCATCCTTTCCCTTCCCCACCCATGGATAATTTGGACCCCCTGCATGTGCTGGCAAACTTCATCTCTGAAAGACGCAAAAAGGGAGCGCCAGGATGTAGCATGCTAGAGGAATCCAGCCGATCTGAAGTCCCTGGAGGTTAGGGACCCTCCTCTCCCCTGCCCCAGGTGGGAAGGGTTGAGAGCTGGAAAGCCAAACCACCCGGGAACGGAAACCTGAGCCCCGCCTCCCCTCCCTGCACATCCCACATGCCCGCATCCCTGACGGATCAGGTGTGCCTTCCCAAAAATGCCAGGGGGTGCTGTGGCAGCCCCGGTGCCATGGGGAGGGGGGCTCAGGGGCCGTTCCTGGGGTGCAGGAGGAGCCCTGGAAGGCAGTGAGCCGGTGTCCTGGGGTGGAAGGAGCCGTGGGGTGGGGAGGGTGGTGGGGGTGATCCTTGCCCTTCTTTTTTGGCTGTGCTGTTTTGACACTCTTTGTTGCTTTTTATTTTATTTATTTTTTTTTTAATTTTTATTATTTTTTTTTCTCCCCTTTTGTTTAATGTTTAATTTCTTTTCCTCCAGCCTGGTCGATGTGTTTTTCGATATTGTTTTCCGTCCGCTGTTTTCTTCTCTCTCTTGCGCAGAGACTGGTGCTGATGAACATGCCCGTGGCCGAGGACATGACCGTCCACTTCACCTCCACCCTCATGGCACTGATCCGCACGGCCCTGGACATCAAAATTGCCAAAGGTAACGGCTGGGACAGGCAGGGGACAGAGCCAGCAGGGTTGCAGAGTGACCACAGTCCTTTTGTAGGAGTGGTTTTTGTTGGAAAGAAAGTTTTAAGATCATCTTGTTCCACCCCCGTGCCATGGGTAGGGACACCTCCCATAACCCCTGCTTGCTTCAAATCCCATCCAACCTGGCCTTGGACACTTCCAGGGATCCAGGGGCAGCCACAGCTTCTCTGGGCATCCTGTGCCAGGGCCTCACCACCTTCTGAATTTCATCGTAATATCCAATCTCAATCTACCCTCAGCTTAAAATCATTCTTCCTCCTCGTATCACCTTGCAAAAAGTCCCTTTTGGGGACTTTTTTGGGGGCCAAAGTCTCTTTGGCCAGCCTGAAGATCTCCCTGTCAATTTGGGATTGGCTGCCCAGAGCCTGCCATGTGGACGGGAGCAGTTACCTTGAAAAGGCACATTTCTGCCACTTTCTGTTAAAAAATAATCTGTTTCTTTAGGGAAGAGGCAGAGAATTTTTCACTAGAAGCTGCTTCTAGAGAAAAGAAATGGCTTGATGGCCATTGTGTAATGGATGAGAGAGAGAGAGAGAATTCCCCTTCCTCCCCATGTACAAAGCCAAGCCGAGGATGGAAAATACGTGCTTGGCTTCCTAAGGCCGTGGGGAAAAGAAACCTCTCTCTCTCAGAGAAGATAAAATGTTCAGAGCAGGAAAACCTGCTTTGTTGCTGTTGCTGGAAAGGCTGTGATTCATCAGATCAAAAACTTCCTGCGGTAACATGACATTTTCAATAAAACATCCCCTGGGAACGGCTCAGCTACTGGAAGAAAACCCAACCCAGGGCAAGACATCAGCAAAAGCCCAGTGCTCAGACAACAACAGTGGGTTCCAGCCTCTCTAGACAAAGCAGAGATTGGAACCTGGGTCTCCTGGGGCTCACCCAAACTGCCCTGGGCTTCAGTGGCTCTGTTGGTGCTTGTGATGAGCCTGGGGCTTCCTAAGCTCATCAAACCCCTGTCCAGAGAGCTCTGCTCTCCATGCATAGCCTCACCGAGCATTTCAGGGCTTACCAAGTGGAGCTGCTCTTCAACCAGCACATGATCTGCTCACCAGCRAAAGGAAAGTGGGGCAGCAGCAGGTGTGTGTGGGCTGGAGTAGGATTGGAGCTGCAGAGACGGACCCAAGGCGAGCKTGAAGGTGGCAGCTTTGAGTGGGAGGGCAGGGGATGGGGAGCTGGAGGCACATATGGAAGGGAGGGTAGGAAAGTTTCCCTGTGGGAGCAGGGACCGGGCTGGCTGATGCAYGATGGCCCTCCCAGCCCGGAGAGATGGATGCTGCTTGTGAACCTCACTCCAGGATGGAAAAGTGGGGGTTGGTTGGGCCCTGGTGCCGGGGATTGATGTGTGTGGGCCGTTTCTCCCCTCCTGCTGTTGAAGGTGGTGCAGATTGGCAGCAGTTGGACTCTGAGCTGCAAAAGGAGATCCTGACCATTTGGCCTCACCTGTCCCAGAAGATGCTTGACCTGTTGGTGCCCATGCCAAAAAGTGAGTCTCTGGCAGGGGGGGGGGCTCTCATTGCTTTCAAATTCCATTAATCCCCACAGCAACTTCTTCCCAAGGGAGGTGGGCAGAGGTCAGATCCATCCCCAGGGTTTGTTCTCCCTTCTTCTGCTCGGCTTCTTGGGAACTCTCTGGAAAATCCCCCAGTTTGCAGGGATCTGCTCCTGCCAAAGCCACAGTCTCCTGTAAATACTCTYTGGAGTGTACAGGGAGGGAGCTGAGCACACCTGATGGCGTGATGAGGACGTGTGCCTCACTGGCTTAGGATGATTCCAAGGTAGATTCCAATAAATTCCATCTGTTTCATCTCCATGGGCAGTGTCTGGGTGCTCAGCACTCTCTCTTTGGGAACAGCAAGAGGGTCCACAGGGTATCCCACAGCAGGGCTTTTCTCGAGATCCACCCTGGTGCCTTCTCTTACAACACAAGTGACCCCAATTTGTCCCCTCTCATGCTCCCAGCCTCGGACCTGACTGTTGGGAAAATATATGCAGCCATGATGATCATGGATTACTACAAGCAGAGCAAGGCGAAGAAGCAGCGGCAGCAGCTGGAGGAGCAGGTGAGGCTCAGCGAGGGTGGGACAGGGGTGTTCAGATCATCCTCGATGCTTCCCACTGCTCCCAACCCAAACATGCAGCCAGCTGGGCTGAAAATGGTGCAGWTTGGGGTTTGGGGACTACCAGGYGTRTCTGTGYTCATCCTCAGTYCCTGGCAGGGAGCAGGAGCACGSTGGTGGGAGCTTGGCTGGTGAAGCRCTGGATGCTCATCCACGTTTCCTGCAGGCTCAGTTTCTTCCTTTCTCCGACACAGAAAAATGCCCCCATGTTCCAGCGCATGGAGCCATCCTCCCTGCCACAGGAAATCATCTCCAAYGCCAAGGCTCTGCCATACCTCCAGCAGGACACCCTCTCAGGCCTGTGAGTACTGCCCTGACGAGACAGGCACTGCTGTCACCTTTCTGCAGCCCTGGCGCCATCCTTGGAGCTGGCACTCGGGTGCACAGAGGGTTAAATCTGTGCTGGGAGCAGGGAAAAAGCTCCTGGCACAAGGCTTTTGTGGGATTCCAGGTGCCTGGTGTGTCAGTGCCACTAGCAGGGGGATGGCTGGGTCTGTGTGGATGATCTTCCTGTAGGATCATCCTGGCACTCTTGCCTGGGTGAAGCTGAACCCCAGGAGCTGTTGAGCAGTGGGTGGGGTGGGGTCAGTGGGGAATCCCAGCACCCTGGCTGGTGGGAATGAGGTGATAGGGGTTTCTGTCACTGCACTTGGGATGTCCCCACTGCAGGGCACTGTGTCCTCTCCTTTCTGGGCACTTCACCTCTCCAGGGAATGTGATGTTTGTCCTGGGGGCAGGCCCGGGGGATGCTCAGCTCTGAGCTGATCCCAGCAGTGGCAGTGCCAGGTCCCCCTGACGCTGGGCTGTGCTTGCAGGAGCAGCCGAGGCGGGTTCCCCTCGCTGAGCCCACTCTCACCACAGGAGATCTTCCAGCTGGCGTGCATGGATCCGGCCCAGGAGCAGTACCAGGAGCACCAGTCTCTGGTAAAGCCATGCACGGCTGCTCTGCAGTGCCAGCGAGGATGCTGTGGGCACGGGAGGAGTGGGGAGTGAGCACAGCACAGGCGTGGCAGCTGCTGGGTCATGCACGGATCCAAAACAGGGGACAAATGTCCCTGGATGTCCTCCAGCTGGGGCTCTGCCCCCGCCTCTGGCACTGGGGACAAAGCCAGCCCTGGTCTATAGGGCCAGGCAGCACAAGTGCTTTTGGGGTGAAAGCCATGACCAATGTCCTGCAGTAAAATATCCTTCTCTCCACAGGCTATTTTTACCACTGAGCACTCATTTCAGTGGGTTTCCCCGTGCTGAGTGATGGTATCTGATGTTTTCGGATTCGTGTCCATTTTGTTGTCAGTGGTGGTGTCCCCAGTCCCCAACCAAGCTGTGTGCAGCAGGAGCAGCCCCCTCCGGCCTCACACACTGTCTGTCTGTGTGTGTATATATATATATCACCTATTTATATATCTCCCATATCTATATATATCACACATTCTATATATATATATATATATCTCATGTCTGTGTGTGCATTCCTGCACCACCCGACGCAGGGTTGTACCACTGTGCATCTCCAGCTCCGTGTCCCCGGGGTCTGTAGCACTCTGTGTCACCTGTGTAGGACACAGGCAGGTGTCCCCTGCCTCGGCCACCCCAGCCACACGCAGAGGTGGCAGGTGAAACCCTCCCCTCCTCCAGAAAGTCACCTTCTAGTGAAGTCCAGGGTCACTCTGTGCCCAGTTCCTTGATTTCATGAGTGACTGTGAGCATCCACAGAGTTCCCTTTACCAGGAATGAAACAAAGCTGTGGGAAGTGTGTGTTATTTTGACAGGGATGTGTTCAGGAAGACTTTGAGGCAGGGTCAGAGACAAAATCCCGTCCGTTTGCCCCCTCCTGGCAAAAGGAAGAGTTAAAGCCTGGGCGATCAGGGTGTCCCCAGACCCAGGCAGGGTTTCCAGTGTCACTGAAGAGGTACAAGGGCAGCTGGCCTGAGGCAGCATGTCAGGGCTCACCTGAGGACTGTCAGCTGGAGAGTATTTTTCAGTGGCCATGTGATGAATTCTAATGYCTGAGACTCTGTTTTTCATAGAATCATTGAATAGTTTGGGTTGAAATGGGCTTTTTAAAGCTCATCTATTTGCAACCCCCCTGCCATAGGCACAGGAACATCTTCAACCAGACCAGGGTGCTCAGAGCTCCATCCAACCTGGCCTTGAACCCTTCCAGGCAGGGACCATCCACCACCTCCCTGGGCAACCTGTGCCAGTGTTTTACCACCCATTTTTGGCCAATTCCACCCCTGGCTGAGCAAGCAGGGCCATCCCCTGCCAAGAGGGCCGGGGCAGCGCGCTGCCCTGCTCCAAGCCCATCCCAAGAGCTTGGCTGTGTGTTTATTTCCAGGAGCCAGAGGTTAGGGAGTTTCAAAGAGTGCAGCCCTCTAACCGTGGCAGCTACCTTCCCGTGGACACTCAGGACCACGCTGTCTCTGGGAGGGCCTCCTCCATGCCTCGTCTCACTGTGGATCCCCAGGTAAAACCAAGCAGAGCCCGCAGGGCTGCCGGGTGTGATCAAAGCCTGCCAGGTAACGCCGGGGCTGCTCTCTGTGCTGAGCCCCGTGGCAGCCCCAGCACCCTGATACTGGAGCTGCTCCCCTTCTCTGGTGGCTGCACGAGTAGGAGAGCTGCTGTTCCCTTACCAAGGGGATGCTGGCAGCAGGGAGCAGCCTGGGGGATCCATCTCCCAGCTCCATGGTGGTGCAGAGCAGGACCACGCCGAGAGGCAGCAGGTTCTCCCTGCAGTGGGACAGCCCCTCCTTTCCTCCAGCCCTGGGCACTGGCTGAGGTTTGAGGAGCCCCAGCCCAGCTGTCAGATGATCTCAGAGGTGATGGAATGCYGTCTCCATCCTTTCCCGTTGTCCCAACACGTGCACTTCTCTGTCTGTCCAGGGCAACCCAGGCTGCGTCTCACCTCCTCATCTGTCTGCCTGGTTTCTCTGTTGTTCTGTCCTGTGCTCAGCCTACACCGAGACACAGATGGGGTTTTTTTGGGCTTTGGTGCTGCTGTGAAGTCTCTGGGTCTGCTTTCTCGTGGAGGTGCTGGTGCAGGCACCAAGTCCTGGTGTCACTGCTGGTGTGGCACTTTGTGGGGGTGTGAAGACAAAGGGAGGCTTTGCCTCATGGGCCTCCTTGGCCATTCAACAGCAAGGGATGATCAGAAATAGAGAATGGGAGCAGGAAAGGTGAGGAGAYGGAGAACAGCCTGAGGCTGCAGTGGCAAAGAGCTGCTAGCATAAAGCAAAGGAAATATGGAAGGAGGTGACGTTTTCCCCACAACATGTGAAAACACAGGCTGGAACGAGGGGAGAAAGTAGGAAGGAGAAGCATRGGAGGGAGAAAGAAAAGGGAACATAAAACAACTGCGTGAGCGGGGAGATAGGGAATGAGTGCAGGGGAAAGGGATGGGGATCTGGGAATAAAGGAGGAGCTAGGGAGGTGCCTGAAAATATGGTGGCAGCTGTAAAAATGAGCAGAGAGCGAGAGGCACTGGACAACCCCTCTCTGTCACCAATCTTCAGTGTTTGCTTGGCTTGGCCCTGTTTTCCAGGATGGSAGGGCTGCTGGGGAGGCAGCCTGGGGGCAATGGTGTGGCCCCCATGGCCCCATACTCCGGGGGAGATGCTGCTGCTCTCCCCCCAAGTCCCTGGGCTGGGATCGGGGCTGCTGCCTCTGCTTGTGCAGCACAGCTCCAGCTGGCTGGGGAAGGGCAGCCCACCAGCACCGAGGACAAATCCTGCTTTCCTCCCCTCCTCCCCTCCCTGATTTGTGCAGAGATTGCCTGGGGGGCTGTTCTCGGGCTGGCTGCCCCCACCCCAAATCAATCCCGGTCCCACATGGGTGGTGATCCCCATGGTGGRGGTGAAGCTGTCCTTAGTGACCGCTGCGGTCCCCAGCCCTGCCTGGCACTAACGCTGTCCCCGGCTGGCCGGGGTGGCTTGCAGGTGGTGACAGACACCAGCTCCATGCGGAGATCATTCTCCACCATCCGGGACAAGCGGCCCAACAGCTCCTGGCTGGATGAGTTCTCCATGGAGCGCAGCAGTGAGAACACCTACAAGTCCCGCCGGCGCAGCTACCACTCCTCGCTCCAGCTGTCCGCCCGGCGCCTCAACGCCGACTCGGGTGAGCCTAAAAAATCCCCCAAAACCCCTCCAGCTGAGCATTCCCTGCTGCCGGTGAGCGCTGACGTGGGTGTCCTGCAGGCCACCGGTCTGAGGGGCACCGCTCGGGCCGGGAGCGGGGCCGATCCAAAGAGCGCAAGCACCTGCTGTCCCCCGACATCTCTCGCTGCAACTCCGAGGAGAGGAGTCCCCAGGCACAGGAGGAGTCACCGGAGCGGCGGCGCGAGTCCCGGTCACCCAGTGAGGGCAGGTCACAGACACCCAGCAGGCAGGTGGGTGCCGGAGACCCCTTCGTAAAAAGCTTCTTGCCAAAACTGGGAAGAAAAGCCCTAATTCTGGGAGCTCTGCACCGTCCCATCTCCTGGTGGTGGCATCTCTGTGTCCCCTGTGAGCTGAGTGGTTTGGGGCTGCTCAGGCACCCTGCAGAGCCTTTGGGGACAGGGGTGGATCTCATGCTGATCCTCTTCCTGTCGGGGTCAAGGTGTCCCAGATCCACAAGCCTGGAGATGCCAGTGCTTGAGTGAGATTGAGGGCACCCGTGGAGATGCCGCCCATGGAGAGCAGCAGCAGGTGAGCTGTCAGCTCTTCCTGTGGCAGGTTTGGGGTGCTTTTTGCTTTTGACCACCAAGAGCATGGAACTGTAGAATATCCTGCGCTGGAACAGAGCACAGTTATCATTGAGTCCAACTCTTGGCCCTGCGCAGGACAGCCCCAAGAATTCCACCATGTGCCTGAGAGCACTATCTGAACTGAATG